TGGTAAATTATTTGTGGTATCGCTTCAAAATTTTTATGGAAGCACTGTGAGGTCATTCTTAGTGTCTGCCAATTTTCATCAATATCCAACGAGAAACAAAAAAAGTTCATTGAAAAAAGCCTGTCGAAAACTTCGACAGGCTTTTTCTCACAAGTGTGTTTTGGACATTGTGCATTGCTCGTGGAAAGAGTAGCACGGGAATGACTGGACCAATTTTGATTGTGTTTTTTTCTGAATCCCTGAACACTGCTTGTGGGTACAGCAATTTTCAATTTCTGTTTTATGGCCCTGTTATTTTTCTAGACGATGATTTGTTCGTGCCACTGTTTCTGACAATGTGTCGGCAGCCATGATGATCTCTAAAAAAAAAAAAAGAGAACTTATTAAAAAATTCACAGAGTGCCATACCCTGTAGCTTTCTTTTGAGTAAAGATCAACATCATTCACAGCATCCTGGCATGTTTTGTTACAGCGCTAGGCTTTCCACGAGCAGACCATGTAATTGGACCATGTAGCATTATGTAACTTGAGAACTACTGAAGCTATCATGATGAAACTGCATATTTCCCTATTCGAGACACTAATGAGTATGCATGCCAAATTTCATTGCTGTAGGTCAACAAATGAAAAAGTTTTTTTTCAATGCCACCTCCCCCCTTTAAGGGGGGACGCGGCTTTGGGATCGCGGAAAACGGCAAAAAAATCGATTTTTTGAAACTCAAGTTTTCAGTTTCTGGAACCCTTTTTTTATCTGGTTCCAAATTATCTACACTGAAAACCGTGCAGAAGTGCTTCGGAAAATTCGTTTCACCCACCTAGGTAGCAAAAATTTTTCTGGAAATGGCGAGAAAACGGCGTTCTTCAAAAAATTATAGCTCCGCGATGCTTGGGCCGGGAGCCGGCTTCTTGGGCTCATGGGAAAGAGCATTTCTCCGTGTTTAACTTTTACACCTCAGCTGGCTCCTCCCTTTAACAACAAGCGAGCAAAAAGCAAATGTTTGAAGGTCGTTTTGAGGCCCTTGATTGGCCGTGGCCGCCATGTTGCTTCAGCTCGCCTCGCCATTGGCCCGATGCTCGCTCCAGGAGATCGTCGTCTGCTGCTTGTGCATCGCGAGGACATGGCTCTCGAAAATCGCCACTTCGTGACGTGTTCACGGCTTGATAATCCCTTAAGATATAACTACGCTTTAGTTACGAGTAGTAAGCGGATGCGCGATCAGGTTACTACAAGCAGTAGCGCAGTCTACGAGCGCCGCGGGTCATCAGAGTCGTCTTTAGCCCTAACTCCGCCGACAGCGAGACTGCGGGCAGGAACGACACGCTAGCGCATTCGTGGCGACGTGATTCTTCACAAGCAACGAAGCTGAAAGCGGCGGCACAATCTGATTACTACGAGCGCGCGCGGCGCGTCATCGGAGTCGGCTTTAGGCCTAACTCCGCTGACAGCGAGACTGCGGGCAGGAACGACTCGCAAGCACACTCTTGGCAACTGGCTTCTTCACAAGGAATGTACCACATCACACGCTAGCTCCTCTAAATCACGTATGGGCATTTTACGCATCGGCAGCGACAACAAAATCAAGCTTGTCACCCCCCCCCCCCCCCCCCCTTCACTGCCGAGGATCGCTCGGAACAGCGGCTAGCAGTTTCGCGTGTCGCATTCGAAAATGCGATGCCAAGTGCAGTGCGTGCCGATTTTTTGTCTTCGTAGTTGCACATTTCGCGCATTGTCATCAACGCCGCGGGCAAGTGCATTATGCGTCGGCTGCACTGTCCACGCGGCCGCGCACCCCACGGTCATATGGAGTGCTGTCAATAAGCTTTTGGGATGCAATTCAGACGTGCTTGGAGCCGTGCTTGATATCGCCACGAACGTCTATGAATGTTCCGAAGTTAATGAATTGCTGTAGATTAGAGTTTCCGCAACCGGCTGTATGATGATGCGTTTCACAGCTAGAGCGGCGAAACAGCATGTATGAATCAGGGGGCATGAATTTTTATATGCCTGTTTCGTGTCATTAATTATACTGCTAGAAATTCCCGTGCCACCAGTCTTCTGCCCATAACTTTGTTATTTAGAAAGAAGACATAGGCCGTCATGGTGTGATCCATTTTCCTGATGCAATAAACCTCTCTCCAAATAAAGAAAAGTTCAGTGAATATTTGTAATCAAGTACTTAATTACGCTAATTACAACTTCAGCACAAGAAGTATTTGTAATAATTTCAGTATATGGTTTTATTCAATTACAATCATTTCTGTCATACCTATCACACCACTCCTTCATACAAAGAACTTGGTTTGAAATCCATACTTGTTCTTTGTAAATCATGAAAAGGAGTAAATCATGAAAAGAAGTCAAATATCACAAGACAAACCTGAGATCACAATTTTTAGGTGTCTTTCTCAATACTGTTTTTTTGACATTATGCTCAGTTCCTCCACATGGTTCAATGAAGAAATAATTTGTTTCTCGTAAAGTATTTGAGGTATTGCTTCAAAATTTTTATGGAAGCACTGTGAGGTCATTCTTAGTGTCTGTGCCAATTTTCATCAATATCCAACGAGAAACAAAAAAATTTCATTGAAAAAGCTTTTTCTCACAAGTGTGTTTTGGACATTGTGCATTGGTCATGGAAAGAGTAGCACGGGAATGACTGGACGGATTTTGATTCTGTTTTTTTTTTTTTTTTCTGAATCCCTGAACACTGCTTGTGGCTACAGCAATTTTCAATTTCTGTTTTATGGCCCTGTTATTTTTCTAGAAGATGATTTGTCCGTGCCACTGTTTCTGACAATGTGTGTCGGCAGCCATGATGATCTCTAAAACAAAAAGAGAACTTATTAAAAAATTCTGAGAGTGCCATACCCTGTAGCTTTCTTTTGAGTAAAGATCAACACTATTCGCAGCTTCCTGGCATATTTTGTTGCAGCGCTAGGCTTTCCACTAGCAGACCATGTAATTGGATAGTGTAGCATTATGTGACTACAGAACTACTGAAGCTATCATGATGAAACTGCATATTTCCCTATTCGAGACACTTATGAGTATGCATGCCAAGTTTCATTGCTGTAGGTCAACAAATAAAACAGTTTTTTTTTCAATGCCACTTCCCCCCTTAAAGCGAGGAGCCAGCTGAGGCTAGAAAGTTGAAAACGGAGAAATGCTCTTCCTGATGTGCCCAAGAAGCCGGCTCCCGGCCCAGCCATCGCAAAGTTATAATTTTTTTTAAATCGCTGTTTTCTCTGCCATTTCCAGAAAAAGTTTCGTTACCTAGGTGAGTGAAACGACCTTTCCGAAGCACTTCTGCACGGTTGTCAGTGTAGATACAGTAGAACCCTGCTGTTGCGTTCCCGTGTGCTGCGTTTTCCTGGCTGTTACGTCGTTTTCGGCCGGTCCAGGCACAGCTCCCATAGGATCCAATGCATCGAGAACGCCGCTGCTGTGTCTCAACTATGGGACCGTTCCCGCATCATACGTTGCGAAGTGCCACGACGCGCCGGCCCGAGCGGCCATGTTGTCTTTCAAGTAGCTTAACTTGGCGGCTTGACGATGGGATTGGCCACCCAAAGTGCCGGGGGCAACACCTATGACGTATTTTCAGTTCATGCCAGCAAAAGCATGACCTTTGAGATCCGTATTAGCACTCTAAGAAAGATTGTGTCTATGACGCGTTGGGGCCCTAAAATTGGTTTGGGCATCTGTAAAAGTAAGGTCTCAGAGACCTGTTTTTGTTTTCTTGGTATGTCACGCTGGCTTAAACTTATCACCACCGGGTCACGCAGGGGGCCCAATTCAAAGGGTATAGCCCGATCACCATCACCATCGCCCATGTGTGCCCGTGCTACCCGTGCTTGCTGCGGTCTTCTCACATTGCCTTTGTTTTGTGTCGGTCGTTGCGCAGGTTATACGAGCGTGCAGCATTGTGCCTTTACACTTCCAAAACTCCAAATAGTCAACAGTGACAACGCTTCTGTTGACGACGCCATTGTCACTTCCGCGATGTTATCCGTCGACGACATCGTGGCTGAGTGTGCCAATCCGTGCGCGCGTGACGAAGTTGAGGAGGAGGTGAAGCGGATACCGGAGCCAACGTCCTCATTGGCCGTAGCGGCACTGGATTTGTTGCGAAGATATGTGCGCACCAGTGACGATGGCGAGAGCCACATGGCACTACAGGTGCTTGAAAAACGCCTTGTGCTTGTCGGGTGCGAGAAGATGCGTCAGGCAATGCTGCATGATTTTTTCAAGCGAAAGAATTAAAATAAAACTGTGCAGTTCACCACTATTCTCATTTCTCAATTTTTCGCGTTTCTCGGATCTTGCGTTTCCCGGCTCCTACGTTTTTGTTTTTTCTTACAATCCCGTGAAAAACGTATCAGCGGAGTTCTGTATTTTAGAACCAGATAGAAAAAGGGTTCCAGAAACTGAAAACTTGATTTTCCAAAAATAGATTTTTTGCTTTTTTTCCCGATCTTAAAGCCGCGTCCCCCCTTAAGCAGGTTTGAGTCGTAAAAAAAAAGCGCTGTGAGAGAGACCTGTATGTGAGGGTGTATAATGTATGTGAGGGTGTATTATCACACAGAGGTGCATGCAACAAGTGCATGCCATTTTCATGGCAACATTAAAAGCAAAATTTTCCAATAGTATCCACTATTTTGTTGCATTTACGTCCTTGTAGTCACAAGGACTCCAAAAAATATAAATCAAGTTCTGGGGTTCTATGCACCAAAGCTCAATACATAATAATGAAGCATGCAAGAGCGGACGGTGCCACGTAAATTTCAACCACCTCATGTCTTCCAGGGTGTGGCCCTAAATTGAAATACACAAGACGCTCCTGCATTTCACAACTGTCATAATGCGCCACGGCGGTAGAGGCTGCTCTGGTCTCGAACTTCGTAATCACAGTGCTAGTGTTCTCTCTCGAATGTAAGATCTATTGAGAGAGTCACTAGTTGTGGCTCGAAAGAAGACCCTGTTAAGAATCCTGTCTCACCTGGTGCCCTCTCCCACTCATTGGTAACCGGTGGCGGGCCCCTGTGGTCCGGTATCAGTGGTGGACCCCTGGGTGCTCCAAGTGGTGGCGGCGGCCCTCTTGGAGGGGGCTGCACCAGAGTGCAACGCGAGTTCCCGACGACAATGATTATTCTTGGTGACAACCTGAGGCAGCGTTCACACCGGTGACTGATAAAAGTTGGCAAGTGGTGACCACTCTTGCTAACTAATGTGCACTTCATCAACTGTGACGTGCCAGCTGCTGTTGCTCGCTCTAATGCTAGTTTCGTTGCCAATGCAACCACGGCTACGTAAAATATCTGTCTGCATACCGTCACAGGTATTCAAACATTACCATTGCTGGGCTGCCGATTAATTCAGTGGGAACACAACTCCACTCGCAGAGCTAGAAAAAAGCAATCAGTAAGACACTCCACCAAATGAATGCTTTCTGACAACTCACTCACGCGACCTCTGTCAGCCACCTGAATGAACGTTCAAGAGTTACGCAGAACTTCTGCCCATGAAAGGCATGTTATACATGCCTTTCAGCTCTGCAAGAGTGCTGTGACAGCTTGTGTCTGCCCTCAGATAGTGTTTTTGCACAGCTAATATAAATGCTAGGCTTCGTAGAAAAGCTTTCATTACTCAACTTAAATATTTCACAATGCTCACATATGTCCACTGAGGTATCTCCTGGCCAGTTCCACCTTCACTCTGAAGCCAGCAACATGAAGCTAGATGGGCAAAGTAATTGAACTCGGACATGTCAACATGCTTGACACCAAAATGTGTGCACATAACTGGCTGTTGCACAAGTACACATTTTCTTTGGGTAGTACAGTATCACCTGTGCCGCTGTAATCTTAGGTTGCTGCTGACAACAGGAGAATCCAGTCATCAATTTCTGTTCACACGCATAATTGCAAACTGCACTCTTTAACTACAATGTTTCAATATCAACGAAATAGCTTTTGCCAGCGACACTGCCAATGACCTCTGTTTTACCACCCCGTGACTGCCCTTACCATGCGCAAGAGGCTCGGAGGCGGCGGTGCTGTTCGCAGCGGCATTGCCCCAGTGGGCGGCGGTGGGCCCTGCAGGTTGGCTGGCAACGGTGGAGGGGGACCGCTCTGCGGAGGCGGTGGCCGCAGGGGCGGTGGGGGTCCTGGTGGGTGCACCTGAGGGGGTGGGGGTCCCCCCAGCCTCATCGGTGGAGGCGGGTAGTCTGCAGCAAAGAGAGGAACACAAACCTCTCGCGACAGCTTCCCGATCCCCGCTAATTAATTTGCTGCACTGCCTGCAACCAGTGAAGTGGCTTTGCAGAAGCAAACCACGTAGCTCTTTGCCTCTCGCACAGCCAAATAAGATAGGTAGAGGGCTTGAATGAAACAGTGATAAGCTTTCCTCGAGAAGATAAAAAAAGAAAGGTGGCGGAACTATCAGCAAAGCTTGCAATCACCCAACTCATTTCAGCATTTCATGCGATTCAGTTCCAGTTGTTATAGCACTGACTGTCTTAATTAGTAAGTTTTAACTAGTAGTCTTAGCAGTGCATACCCTCAAAGAGAAAAAAAAGTGGTCTGCTTGCACTACTGCTGCAAGGCTGGAGCCATCAATTGAGCTTATGATCACCTAGCTCAATCGAGGACCTTACGTGACTCGACAGTCTCAAATGTCATGGCTTCAACTTGGCCTTAAGGGGAGACGCGGGTCGAAAAGTCGCGGTTTTCCGGAAAATTTTCGCTTTTTTTTTTCCGGCTGTATTGGCATCCTTGGACTATAATCTATTCCTTCCGAAAATATCAAGCTGAAATTCGCACGAGAAATTATCAAAAAATGCTTCCAAGTGGGCAGCGGTGACGCGAGAAATGCGCGAAAGTCGCGAAAAACGGCGAAGTTCGCGTCGTCCTGTCGCGAAAACGACGCGTTGGCCGCCATTTGCAATCGTGCACGCATGCTGCGAAGGCCGTATCCTTCATAATCCACTAGTAGCCAGTCTCGCGCCTTCACGCAGAATAAACAAAAAACGAGAAAAACAACGCGTACGTCACGCGTTTTGAATATCGCGGCACACAGCGCGAGGCCGCCATTGGACGGCGGTGCGCTCCACGCTCCTCCCCCTCCTATCTCTCCGGCAAAAGAGCGAAGCCTCGGACGTCGCGATCGAGTTTTTCTGCGTTTCTCTGCATTTTTGCGTCATGGCAAGCCCGAAGAAGTGCAGTTCAGATAATCGAAAGTTCAGAACTCGCCACAAGTATCGAGGGAAACAGCGTCGGACGCTTCGCAAAGCGACAGCGAACGACGATGTCACCCCCGACCAACGCCCCGACGCTCCGACTTCGGATAGGCCTAACACCGTCACCGAACCCTGCGACAGTGGTTGTGAAATAGCCGCTGCCATGGAATTCGTCAGTGCATCCCAAAGGAAGATTGGATTCTTCGAGAGTGAACGTAGACCGGTAGATGCTGCTACTGCGAACATGCTGCTTTGCGAAATCGATGCGCTGACGGCACTTGTGGCGGGTGCGCAATGCCCAACCTGCCACGAACGGAAGCTCGGCGTGCGAGAGGCAGCTGGAAAGCGCAAAGGACTTTCGGCATTCCTCGAACTGTGCTGTCAAAATTCTGATTGCCCTGAATCTGCACTTTCGTTCACGCACACGTCGAGACGTACTGCTTCGGCCGGGGACCAAGGAACGAGCGCTCGTTTTGACAGCGGCAGCTCGCGTGACAGCTTTGCTGTAAACGTGAAGGCAGTTCTGGCAGCACGCGCTATAGGCGCAGGCCACGACCAACTTTCACGATTTTGTGCGATTCTTGGTCTTCCGAGCCCGATGCATCGCAAGACATTCAACGGCATTTGCAAGAAGCTCCATGGTGCGGCGATGACGGCAGTGAGCAAAAACTTGCACCAGGCACGAAACATCACGAAGGACGCAGTCGGCGGCAAAGATGTGCCAGTCATGTTTGATGGCACCTGGCAGAAAAGAGGTCATAACAGCCACAATGGAATGGGCACAGTCATGTCCCTGGACACGGGGCTCTGCCTCGATTTTGAAGTTCTTTCGAACTACTGCCGTGCTTGCAGTATACACAGGGACCTTGGGGAGGATGAAGAGATATGGCGAGTTTTTCATCTTCCAGTTTGCCAAAAAAACACTGACTGCTCATCCCATGCAATGGAACCTGCGGCAGCTGTCAATATATGGCAGAGGACCTTGTCTTATGAAACTCCACTGCGATTCACCAGCTTCCTAAGTGATGGTGACAGCAAGGCCTACACTGCAGTCTGCGAGGCAAATGTATACTGTGACACCCCCATTGACAAAGAAGAGTGCACAAACCACGTTGCAAAGCGCTTGGGAACTGCCCTACGGAAATTGGCAACGCCACTGCCACGAGGCGAAAAACTGAAAGATGCGACAATAATAAAGCTACAAACATATTACAAGATCGCCATCACGAGCAACAAGGACAGTGTCCGAAATATGTACACTGCCATATGGGCATCGTATTTTCATTGCTGCTCCAGTGATGGTGCCAGTAGCCACAACTTTTGCCCCGCGGGACCAAATTCGTGGTGCAAGCACAAGCGTGCGGAAGCACTGGGGGAGCCTGCACCACGCCACACCCCACTGTTGACGAAGGCTCAAGGATTGGCAATTATGCCTATCTACAAGCGCCTTACAGAGGAGAAACTCCTTATTCGGTGCCTTCATGGCAAGACACAGAATGCAGCCGAATCGCTGAACAGCAAGATATGGCTGCTATGTCCAAAAACAAAGTTCGCCTCCAGAACAACTGTGGAGACAGCCACCGCTCTTGCTGTACTCTGGTACAACAAAGGCCACAGGGGCTTTGAAGAAGTGCTCGAAGGCATTGGAATTCTCCCCTCACAAGATCTGGCCACACATGGTGACCACTGTGACGTCTTGCGCATCAGGAAGATGAACCTGAAGCAAACTGCAGAAGCGAGGGCACACCGTCGCAACACAGCGAAGAGAGCTCGTGTTGAGGACACTGACCGCAAGAGCCGTGAAGGACCAAGCTATGGTGCAGGGGACTTCTAGACACTTGCAGTGCATTCAAGGCAAGGTACTTTTCATTGTGCCCCAATTTGATGCAAAAAGAATGATTTCCTAATAAATGCCAACTTTGCGAACTTTCAAACTTGTTTTTCTCATTTTCATTTTTTCTGACAGTTTCACGTTTTCCGGGCAGTCTTTTAGAAACTTATATTCATTGTATAGTAACGAAACTTGGCACACATATTCTTCAACACATGCAGAATGCAAATATCTACTCTAAATTGCAATGCCTACCAGCATTAGTTGTGAAAATATTAGCTTATTGTTTCAAGGGAGATTGAAAACAATAAGTCATTCAATACAATTTTTTTTTCTTGGTTCTAATATTTCTGTGACATATCTATATAGATATTTGCACTTTTCAATCTACCAAGAGTCAAATAAGATCAGACACAGTGCTTTTACTGAAAGTTTAGTACATAAAAGAGTGCCCGCAAAAAATGTAACTTTTTGCTATTGTTTATGGCATAACTCAATAATTATAGCAGCTACACAAAAAATGATTGCATATTTGAAATCTGCATGAAAAACTATACTAATAACAAACTTTTCAAGTCTCTATTACTAGAAATAAAAAAAAAAACTTTTTCGAGGAGCGTCTCCCCTTAATTCGTACTCTTCATCAGATTGATTGATTTGTGGGGTTTAACGTCCCAAAACCAGTACTCTTCATCAGAAGTCTCATCATTGCATTATCAGTAAGGTTTTACTTAGTTGGCTCGTAATTAGTAGCCATAGCATGCATGGTCTCAATTACATTTATGTTACCGTAATCTTATTTAACATCTCATTATCAATATATGACTTGATGAGCCCAGTCTTTGCATAACGTGGCTTCATAGCTTGGTATTAGTCAGTCAAAGTCTTTACTTAGGTATACCACTTGGCTAATTAGCTAATCAGCCAGGCCTAAGCATCATGGGAGCGAGCAGAAGATGAAAAAGACAAAAAAAGTGTGTGACTAGACAGCAGAGGCCAACCATGACTTTAGTTTTCTGGCGACACCACGCAACAAAAAAAAGCTTAACAGCTCCCGATGTAGAACAAGATAAAACTAATGCAATGAGAGTGATCGTCACTTAAAATGAAGCTTCTGTCACTTTTGTGAGTGCTAATATACACGCGCAACACAAATGAGCATGGTCGTGTTGCAAATTGGCTGCCAACAGCTCCACAACAATCAAGGAGCACCCATTTAGAAAGCTTTAGCTGTTCTGGAGACTGCTTACAATTTATGAGTTACGAGTTTACCAGGACTGTAAACCAGAGTAGCCAAGCTACTCACGTTGCGGAGCTCAAGCAGACCAACATGAATTTATTACTGCAATGGCCGAGTGCGTTTTACATCGATTCATCACTCTCTAAATTTGGGCTTGTAGGTACATACTGATGACAAGAAGAATAGCACTGAACGAGGACACAAAAATAAGACACACACAACACGAGCACCTTCTACCTTGATGCTCGTGTAAATTCTCTGCAGTGGTGTAATCACAAACATGCAGCCAAAAAGTAGTTTACTTTCAACGGGGAAGGCTACCATCAGGTGCAAAGTGGGAAGAAATATACTCATCTCCCTGCTTCCCTCAAGATCATTTGTAAACCTCGCCTATGATATACTTCGTCATTCACCCCGTCACGGACAGTGTAATCTGCGAGGCTTTCAGAAGATTCACAACAGTTCGTAGCGATACCAAACATGGCTCCAACATGCCTGATATTGCATCATCAGTGCTTTATTCACCTCGGTATGCTCGACCACAGTGTCCAAGAAGTCAGCACGCGATATGCAGGTGGCGGCATTAGGTGACGATGCGCAATATGATGATATGCTTAAGCTCAGGGCCAACAAGCCGGCGTGCAACGAGTTCAGTTTCTCATTTCGGGGGCCAACGCGCGGCCGCTGCAAGACGAGCAGTTCGGGACGATGCGCAATATGTCCAACCGTAGTTTCAACATGCCACTGTGCAATTCGATTCCTTGCTTGCAATGAAACACACCGCGGTCAGTCCGCTACCGCAATAGGTTTGGCCGCACAAGTTTGCATTCAGCTCGTATTGGCGCCGTGAGCGGATCTAAGTAGCATAAATACGACTCCTAGCAGTAAGATCAGCCTGAAGCTTCAAAAAAAAAATGTCGCATTTGATTGCAAGTACAGTCGATCCCGCTTATAACGAACCTGAGCGTGACGCGGCATTCGTTCGCTGTATCCCGAAGTTCATAGTAAATGAAACACGGCTATTAGAACAGTTGCGAGTAAGAACACAGACTTTTTTTGCCCCAAAAAGTCCGTGATGCCTGTGTTTTGAAATACAGAAGCAATAAGGGCGGTCTCGAGTACATTTAAAACGGCAGGGTGCTCATTCGCCGAGGCCCAGGCATAAGCTGCATGAGGCACTGGCTCCAAAGTTACGTCGTTCTCGCAATCCGATTCTGGGCCCGTATCCAGTCAGAAAACGAAACTAATTCGAGCCAGCGTGGCGGGCGTCGCGGAGCGGTGGACACGGGCGAGGGGTTGTGATCAAGAGAGGAGAGCAGACTTGCGAGAGAAGGGCAAGGAGTTGCGATAAAGAGGGGGGAGGATGCGACGGGAGGGCGACTTTGATAACCAAAACGCACGGGAAGGAGGCACGTTCGATAGCTTGCTTGAAAGGTCAGCGAAACTCGCACGTAGAAAAACTTGAAAAGAGTCCCTGCGCGCGGCGGTGTTCGAAGAATGGGCGGCCGTGGTGAAAAATCGTTTCGTTGCGCCGGCGGGTTTGCGTGGCCTCACGAACTTCGATATTTCGCGATTCGTTCCGCGCAAATTAACAGCCGATTTCGCACTTCTGCACGCGTGCGGAAGGCATGCTGAGCCGAGTGGGAAGTGGGCGAGAACAAGTCCTAAACACGAAACGAATCGCAAATTATCAGAGTCGGTGGAATAGCGTACGCGCGTGTACTAGACGCAGAGTATCGGATACACTCGGTGGTCGACGATGTTGGTAAATGGCCTGGTCACTCCAGGCCGGCGACGCCAACGACAGTGCCAGTGATCAAAAACAGGGTAGATGGCCGACCGGTCTTCTAAAGATTGGTGGCAATGTGAAAACACGAGCCTCGTCTGGCGATGCGGGGTGCTCAGAGTAGCAGGGGGACAAAGGACGGAGGGGTGCGTAACAAATAGCAGTCGGAGCATGGAGTTTAGCATGGAGGAAGGCATGGAGGAAGGAAACAGGTTTCCTTCCTCCATGTGTTGGGAAAAGCGGCAACTAGAGGGTCGTGGAGGCAGGGTCGGTGTTTAACAATAAGAATGTATGGTCACTTCGCCGATGCCTGATCGGTGGTCGAAATTGGTTTCCCGGGAAGTCGGCAGACCACTGACTTCGTTCGCTGTAACCGATGAGCGGCGCTCGGAGACGTTCGTTGCAAGTGCGATTTTGTGCCATTGAACCAATGTATATTTTGACGGTCACGCGGATATTGTTCGTTTTAAGTGGGGCCGTTATATGTGGGCTCGACTGTACAAAGAGCGGTTCCCCTATGGTCTACGTCAGGAAAGTACATAATGCTGGTAAGCAGTCACCGCAGGTCTGACGGGCCGGTCCGACACGCCCGTCTGCGATGTTCGTGACGATCGCAGCGTTATCAAATCCTCGTGATTGAACTTCTGCTTGCAGCGGTATGACTGGTCGAACTACAACACAATTCTAAATGAGCGCCTATCACTGCACACAGAGCAGACGTGCACGTCACTACTAAATGGCGTGATTTTTTACAGCTGTGACCTCGCAACGCACCAAGGTGCAAGCAGCAGACGCACTCTTCCGGTTCAGCCAATGGCGAGGCATGCTGCTCATTGGAGGCCTCGAGGCGACCTTCGGACATTTGCTTCTTGTGCATGTGTTTTTGAGTGGAGGAGCCAGCCGACGCGGGGAATTCCAACACGGAGAAACATTTTTTTTTTTTTTTTTTTCAGAGAGCCCAAAGCAAAGACGCCCGTTCGCATTAATCCGGAGCTAGGATTATTTGAAAATCAGTGTCTTTTTCACAATTTATGTGATAATTCTCACAACTTTGACAAGCACAAGAATTTTATAAAAGGACTTCTAGGCGGTTTTTAGTGGAGATAGTACGGAATCAGATAGAAGAAGGGCTGCAGAAACTGAAAATGTGATTTTTAAAACATCAATTTTTTTGGCCGTTTTTCGCAATACAAAAGCTGCGTCCACTGAAACACTAAAACTTACCTAAAGCATTTAGGTACTATTGCACAAAGCCTACGCGCTAAATGTCTACTGTATCAGTAATAGACAAGACAACCTATCACCTTGTAAGCGTTCAATGACTGACTTTTCAAAACATCTCCACAAAAAAAATACTGCACCCAGTGTCCCAGAACTGATATGAAAATTATGTCCACATGCGAAGTTTTTTTTTTTTTTTTTATCAGTGTTATTTTTGTGCCAGCTTGATCAGTATGTTTTCCGCTGCACATTAGGGCAGCTGCAATGACATGTTTTGTTCATTTTCAAGGAAACAGTTTCTGCGAACAATGCTAGGCAGAACTCTAGCACTTGTCTTCAGTGTTCTTTCTCAGTATTCGCTCTTTTGCTAAACTCTGCTACGAACTCGCCCAATTTGTCATACGTTCCCCGTCGTGGCAGCCACATTTCAGCGGAGGCACCATTAAAAGAACACCTGTGCACTTACATTTAGGTGACCACAGAAAACACCATATGCTCAAAATCAATGCGAAGTCCACACACCATGGCACACCTCGTGATGATATTGTGATTTCAGCACGTAAAACCCCAGCAATTACATCAACAGACCCTTTCCATAATTACGAAGCTAACTTCCTTGAAAATAGTTTGCCTAGCTAACGGCAGCTAATCACTTCTCAAGACGGTCCATTCTAAGCGCAGTTTGCTTGCGCTATGATGCAAAAGTTTTGACAGAGCTCTCTTGATCTAAAAAAGAAAAGGTACAATGGACAACCCTAGCACATGCAACACAGACCTCCTTCTACATATGAAGCACAACAGGTCCCGCCATCAGTTGGGAGAATGTACAGCGCAGGTAAGAACACTTGGATGATGAAAAGAGTCCATTACTTCGTGTTCTCTCGAAGACTTCACCTTTAGACAAAGGGCTTTACTACAACATGCACTGGCGAACCAACACCCAAGGAATTGCCACACTCGAAAGAGGCAGAACGTACTGAGTGAGGGCGCACCTGGAGTGTACTGAGGAGGCGGTGGAGGCTGCCCAATCAGTGGCGGCCCCACTGGGGGCATGCGTCCTTGATTTGGAAAGGGGCGACTTCTGTCCGAGCGTCCTTGGGGTGAAGGGCCCCGAGGACCCAGCCGGCTGGACGGCGGACCCCTGTCGTTACCGCCGCCCAAGTGGTAGGGGTCACCTGGCAAAGAAGAACACTGTTAATTACGTGCAGTCCCCAACAAGAGCGAACATACGAAGCAGATAAATTTTGAACAAACATGGGTACCTGCACATATTTCCAGTACAATGCTGACAATACAAGTCTCGCCAGGTCACAAAAAAACATTAACATCAGCCGAAATTCGTTTAACCAAAAAAATGTGAAAAACTAATCTCCGAAATTAGCAGTACGCCTGGTGTGTGACCGCAGAAAATCGGCAAAAGTTTTTATTGCTTCTGGAGGAAAAGTTTTTGTCATAAAATTCATACAAGCCATGATCCTATCAAGATTCTATTGTACAGTGTCAAGTTTTATGAAATGGAACACGGGAGCAAGTGGCCTGCATGCACCGGCAGCTGCTGGCAGTGCGTGCTCAAGCAGAAGCAACCACAGCCTCTCTTCGCATCATCTCTCGGCGAGCAAAACAAGCATATGGCACCAACAGCAAGATTGCTACCCCTCCCTTTTCAAGGCAATTATCGGCCTTTTGCGTTATCGCCTTGAACAAAGAAGGGATTGCGGTCTTTCCGTGGGTTACATATAAGCAATGAATGGTTGTTTAGCTCGTAGAGAGATGACGCGTAAAGAGGCTGTGGTTGCTCTCGATCCCGCTTGAGCGCGCTGTCAGCGGCCTACGGAGCGCACAGGCCACACGCTCCTGTGTTCCCTTTCATAAAAACTGACACCGTGCATATCCGTGCTGAGGCAAACATTACCACAGCACAACGGGTACACAAAAACACCAAACATTCAGATTTAAAATAAGCAGCACACTGTTAGACATTTGTTTTATACTTTTCTGTTGGTCCTCCAATTCAATAACAAGCATAACCTTGCCTGATTTCCGCGGGTTACATACAGTCGTCGACCGATAAATCGGACACCAACAATTCGGACATGCTCGGTAATTCTGACAATCGCGCGGCACCGCCGATGGTCCAATAGAAGTAATGTGTAAAGACGACCGATATTTCGGACAGCTGCCAGATCTACATTCGATAATTTGGACCCTGCCCGACTGTCGCGCACGCCGAATCGGCAGCCATTATCTCCTCCGGCACTCATACCATAGAAAGTATGGCCTCAGAGATCAAAACGAAAGCTAATTGGTAATCTATGAGGCTTTATTTCGATCGCAACTTTATGCCTCAGAGATTTGTACTTGAAAATGCCGATCTCGGAGGCACGGCTCAACTGTGGGGGATCGTATCGACATCGCGATCATCCCACATTCCGGTTCCTGTATACCCTCGCCACCCTCGCTGTGCGGCTATCGCCGCCATTCTGTCTAGGCACTGCGCCGTGTCGCCTGTAGGCGGACAGAAATTAGGTGCCTTCTTCCTTTTCCTCACGAACCCCTAACCAACCATTCTGTCACATGTGTGTGCGGTACAGCGTTTTGCTGGATTCTGCGTGCGTTCATATTTATTTTGAGACTTGCTTTATTTTACTTCCAGCTGTCTCACAAGATCTGAAGTTAAATGGCACCAACGGTGCCCTCACAGCCAGCGCCGAAGGCCGCGCCGACGAAACGCAGCAGATATACAACGCTAACCATGGCAAAGAAAGCAGCCATCATTCAGCAAGTGCTCAGTGGTCGTCCGCAAGTCGAAGTTGCTCGACAGTTCAACATTTCGAAGCAAACCATATCAGACTACATGAAGAATAAGGTCAAGATTTGAACAAAAGAGGGTGCGCCAAGGTGTTCATCCGCAGTTGGAAGAAGCGTTGAGCATTTGGCTTAACGCTACCGTCGCTCAACGGGTTCCCGTTTCCAGCCACCTCTTGAAGCAAAAGGCCGAGACATTGGCACTTCGCCTCGGCATTGATGGATTTAAGTTCAGCGATGGCTGGCTCCGGAACTTTCAAAAGCGGTACGACCTCGCTTTCAAAAAAATGTGCAGTGAGAGCGGTGCCGTGGATAGCACACTGGTAGCGAACTACCGCGGTGGAAAGTTGGCGGAGCTGCTTCGGCGCTACTCGGCTGATGACACCTTCAACCTCGATGAAACCGGGCTTTTCTATAAGCTACTACCGGAGAAGACACTCGCCCGTTCTGGAGAACCTTGCCACGGAGGTAAACTCAGCAAGGAACGAGTCGCTGTCGTTGTCGGCATCAACGCTTCTGGCATGGAAAAGCTCCCGCTGCTGGTAATCGGGAAAGTGAAAAACCCTCGATGTTTTAAGGGGAAAAAAAATTTGCCTGTCTGGTACAAAGCCAATACGAAGGCGTGGGTCACACAGAAGCTGTTCGAAGAGTATGTCGGAAAATTGGACCGAAAGTTTGAATTGCAAAAGCACAAGGTCCTTTTGTTCGTAGATAACTGTACTGCCCATGCGCTGATCAGCTGTCTGAAAGCCATCGAGCTAGAATACCTGCCGCTGAATACGACCAGTATTCTGCAACCTATGGACCAAGGTATCATCAAGAATTTGAAGGTGCTGTATTGTTCACGCATGCTGCAGCGCGTGTTGCTCTGCTTAGAGAACCAGATAAAATACAACGTTGATTTGATGTCAGCCATGAGCATGCTTGCTGATGCCTGGAAGGCAGTGTTGGCAGGCACGATCAGCAACTGTTTCCGGCACGCAGGATTTACGTTGCGTAGTGAGCCCGACACCGCCGACACTGCAGCCGAAGAACCCAACAATGCAACTGAAGAGCCGGACCTGCCTCCCAGCGCATCGAGCTCAGGTGCGGACGTTACAGACGACCTGCGAGGCTGCGGTGTGCCGATTCCTGACACTTATGTTTGAAGGCTTTGCAAACGTCGACAGTGCAGTGTCGTCATGTGCCGTATTGAATGACGACATGATTGAGCAGGTTCTGCAACCGTCAAACAGCGGTTCTGACTCCGACGATGATGACGCGCCGTGTGCTCCGGAGCCGTCGCATGCGGACCTGTCTCGAGCCCTCGCTGTTCTTTCGTGGTCGTACAGCGATCGTATCACACTGGCGGAATACAGGCGGACTTGCTTGCACGTAAGCGGAAGTGCGTGCAGCAATGCATTAACGACTTTTTTCGGCCACCGGTAGACTGAAGTGTCAATAAAAGTTTTTTTTTTTCTGACGCATTCGTTTTTTCGAACTTTCGATAATTCGGACTTATTTGCATTCCCCGTGGAGTCCGAATTATCGGTCGTCAACTGTATAAGCAATAAATGGAAGCAATAATGGGACTAGACAGTTTATTGGGGGATTTGAGCCTGTTGGTACCACAATAAAGAGTTAGAACCAAGCAGTCACTCATATTCAGGCCAAGTGCATCAAATCCAACACAAGTCACTAGACAGCCCCGTCTGATGTCAGCTGCGACTATTTTGTCACAACCACACCCAAGCAATACTGGCTCTCAAGAAAAACATCTCACAGATTTGGCATACTATTCGTCAAAAGGCAAGTCTTCACGCTAAAGTATCAATACAACTTACGTTCGCTTCGTCCCTTGCCATCATAGCCAACTGTACACAAAAGGAAATGGAACAGGATGAGGGGAAAAAAAAAAGAATGAAAATTATAAGAAATGGGGTGTGTCAAGTGAATTGCATTAGACCAGTGCCCAATAAGAGAAGTGGATGCAGAGAAGAGAGCAGCGGAAATGAGAAAAAAATACATTAATAAACAATGATAGCTCACCTGAATTCCGATCATACTTCCCCATGTAGCGATCCATGCGGCGGTCCCCACGATAAAACTCGTCGTATTCCCGCGACTGCGATGAAGCTCCTAAGGACAAAGGCAAGACCGTGACCAGGCATGTCGGCCAATATGAAAAAGAGGAACCGCTGCGGACTCTGCTACTGTAATGTCGCAGCAAACAGTTTCACAGGTAGGGAGATCCTAGCCACTCAATCTACCCCGCACTTTCCCAAACCTTCATGCAATTAGCACTGAGAAGTTGGGGTGGCATGCCCTGGCGGGATGCCTGGATGACGTCACGGCAAGGACACTTCGACCCCTGCCAGGGCACGCCTACATAACATGCGCTCACACCGTATGCTGTTCTGCTGTTTGAGATCACTTTTCGCTTGACTCAAAATTGACATGAATGATAAGAACAGCATAAATAATGCTTCTAGTAAACCGATGAAAAACTTTTGTCCAGTAGAATCACCAACGAATTCAGCACACCACCGTACACACTTTGATCAAGTTCGTGTTGTCGCGCTGATCTCGAGGATGGATTCGAGTCTCGGCTGCGGCAGCCACATTTCGACGTGAGTGAAGAGCAAGAACATGTTTCTGCACGGATGCAGTTATTTTTCAGCGTGTCCCGTCATTTTTACACATGAGACAGCATACTCACATTATTAGGCTGCTTTCTACACAAGAGTTCCTTTTCGTAGATGTGATGCTTTCACTTCTGCAATTTTCATTTGTATCGGAAACATGCGCCTATCTGGCCGCAGGCAGTTTTTTTTTTTTTTTGTAACTGTGCTTTAACTGTGCCAAGCTCTGCGCACAGTTACACAAACCCATGCAGTATTGAGGCTCGCAAAGTATATTTAAAATGCTTCGCCGAGAATACCAACGCAGCTGTTGTACTGATCGATTGATTGATATATGGGGTTTAACGTCCCAAAACCACCATATAATTATGAGGGACGCCGTAGTGGAGAGCTCCGAAAATTTCGAGCTCCTGGGGTTCTTTAACATGCACACAAATCTGAGCACACGGGCCTACAGCAATTTCGCCTCCATCGAAAATGCAGCCGCCGCAGCAGAGATTCGATCCCGCGACCTGCGGGTCAGCAGCCAAGTACATTAGCCACTAGACCACCGCGGCAACGCAGCTGTTGTACTTGTTTTTCTTATGTACTCGCTCACTCCTCGTGTAGTTTCATTCCATGTACACTTTCCTCGCAGTAGTTTCAGGGCTTCCTCTCATTAAAAAAAACGAGTTTAAGTTACTTGCGAAAACTTGACACAGCATCATAGCAATGGCACTGTCACACTCGTAAGTACCGGTTTAGATAGCCCACTGGTAAATTAAATTTGATTTTAATTACCCCGAGCTTCCTCAGCTTGTGTGTGGATATGATGCGCGACACCAGAGACTGCCTCATTGAGGCGAAGAATGTTCAATTATTACGTGGGTCACATCGCTGACAGCATAATCTAAACCATTCACAACACTCATTTCAACCTTTAATCATTTGCTTTGCAAATGGTTGCTATCAATGGTGCTCTCACAAGAATTAAATATTAAACAGCTTGTGACGGGATGTTCGACCAGACTAGCAGTTAATGCAAATCTGAATACACAGTCACACAATTTCAGTTCACTAGCTCTTTGGAAGCAATATTTACGTGATTCAAGTACACTAACGTCATGGCATTTCTCTAATCATTTTGTGTGGGACTATTATTTTGTTCAATATTTCGGATATAAAGATTTTTATGGTAAATTCATGTAATCTGTTTTAGCAGAAAGCACAAGTTTGTCAAATCACCCAAATAATTTGCATAAAAACTGGTATATATTTAGTAAATTCGAAAACATTCTAATTATATTTGCAATTCTTCAGCACACATGCCCTAACTGCAGAGTGTATGCCAAGTTTTAATAAAGCTAGAACCAATAGCGCAAAGCCTTTTAGCACCAATTTCTTGGCGCAAGTGGCCAAGACAACAAATGCCTTACAGCAATGCACCACCATTTTCACAGTGAATCTCCCGTTCAAACCCAAAAAATTATCGCAACTCTCTGCAGCTCACTTACGTTTCGCTAGCAGTGTAAACAGCTGCGTTCTACCTTGGTAGATCTGCGTCGCGACAATCGGCAGTTATCACCACTGTATCACATAAGAGCGGACAGACGGCGGGCGCAGAAAAAGGCGAAACTCGGCCACAGAGAGTGTCCTTGCCGTGATACCACTTCGCCCCAACTGCCATGCCACCAGAGTTCATTTGGGGAGCTAATACTACTACAAACAAAGACACTGCAGTACATAGCTCGCACAAGAAATCATCCGCTTGATCAATACACCGACGAATATATACTCAAAATTCGTATTTCGTAATTTTCCTAAGAAGTTAGTCATGTGCCGCAACAAGGAACACCGTTACAACGCAATCTCTGATTCTCCGTTAGCGGCCCATAGAAACCAACATAAAATAGGTCTATTCACAGGTAGTATTTTACCTGTGTATAAGCAATTCAACTAAGCCTTTGTGAGCGCAACTATTGCATGGAAATGGGCACGCTTAGGATGGCCCCCAAAATTTTATATGGCAAGAACCTGCTGCGCCCAGTGCAGGGTGGCCACATTGGAAACCGTATTTTCCATTACCACTTATTAACTCCAGGTAAACTTTTATCACTCAGATCTTCAGCAAGAGATCCTGTCAAAGCAGCCGAATAGCCTGAAGCACATGCAAGCCACAGTAGAACAGCTCTTCATCTTCAAGAGAACACGCCATGTTTGTGACAGTTTGCATGCATTATTATCCCAAGTGGCAATAAATGCTACTGCTTGTGGTCACTTCCGTGCATATGACCACGTTGTTCCAAGATTATACATGAGGTCAATGTGCAAAAAAGTAAAATAAAAAGGCAATAATTTTATGGGCCGTTTGCACTAGTGGCACAAGGCTTGGACCAGCGTTGCCGCTAATGGCTGACCTAAACTATTTGAAAGCTCTTCATCACCACGGTATTAATAGGACAGGTTTAATTAAATGTTCTAATTAACAATATCTTAAATAACAAGGTCCTCTCTTTCTGTCTGTTTCTATCAGTTCCTCTCCCTGGTTCTTTCTCTGCTTTTCCTTCTGTTAATAATCTGTACTGTGCTTCTCATTTCTTTCAGAGGGCCCCACGCATCAAAGAAACTCCTACATTGCGCCTCTATCGTGTCTGCCTCTATGCGTATGCCGGCCATAGGCCTTATTAATAACCATCAAACTACATGGCAACAAAATAAAGCATTACAGCTACCCTCAATTCTCAAATGTACAGCAGCGGCCATGTCTGTGTAGAGCACGCAAGGAGCCGGTTTTCGCTCTGTGGGGCGAAACCTCGAGGTAGTTTCGGGCTCTGAAGTGCTGCATCAGAAGCATGTGTGGCCTAGCTGTCAGGCTGACCACATCAGAGCCGGAAACTGCCTCGAGGTTTCGCCCCCCGGAGCGAGAACCGGCTCCTCGCGTGCTCTACACAGACGTGGCCACGGCTGTACATCATCCAAAGCAAACTGTCTTCATACATAGTCCATCCTAAGGCGAAAAAGAAGACGAAGAGACCACGTGCCAGCTGAGCTAGGGTGTTGCAAGTAAGTGCTAGGCATGGCTTAGATTTCTGGTCATGTGAACGGGTGCAATGAAAGATTTAAACAGCCAGACTGTTAAAAAAGAATAAACTTAGTATGCCAGGAATGGTACAAAAAAACACTATATAAGAACAGTGCACACTAAAATCTTGCGAGGCCACGTCATTAGGATTTAAAATGGGGCAATCACGAACCCTACTATTTTTAAGAGACAGTAATTACTACAATGTTCTAACCGTTCAACCCCTTCATGCACAAATTATGGCACACCGTCAGTAAATGTCTAGATTTTGTCAAACATAATTCTAAGGCACTCAATATTCAATTCTAAAAAAAATCATGTTTTTGGTTGGCTTTGCTAATTAATCTTAAATGTTTTTGGTTGGCTTTGCTAATTAATCTTAAATCATGCACTTAAATGTTTTAATTATTATGCAGCTGGTATATTATATTTTTTCCCAAAAAAATACAATATTACGTTCAAAATGCACACGTAATTCTGTTTCTGGCTGTATTCATGTTGAGCAAAAAAATACAATACACAAGTTTATCCTGGAACACAACACGTCAAGCAACCCATCAAACATCATAGTGCCTTTACCAAAGTGATCAGCGGCATTCACACGCATCATACTGGGGTTAAATCAAGACGAAAACGAGACACATTGACTATGCGGATGGTTAATTGATCCTATGCACAATGTATCTAGCACACTAAAGAAAGCTGGAGTAAGAAGGGTGTCTTTTTTTGTCCCACAACAATAATTATCATCCGACTTGCTTGCGCTTCCTTCCTTGAAAACTCGGCACAGGCCACTTTCCTATCATTTAAACTATGTAACTCTGATAATGCGCATGTCGTACGTGACTGAAAGTGCTGAGCGCGTGGCGATATTGCGAGGAAAGAGACGCAAGATGGGCGAGAATCATTTTGTGGGACAAAAAGATGAGCTTTTTACTGTTTTCTTTGAAAGTTCCCTTTCTTTCCCGCTGGTTCAAGTAACTGGCAAAAACAAGCTGTATCTGCAATGTGGACGGTGGTGCGCCTTAAGGGGGTTAACTGAAGCAACATTTTGCAGCAGTAGCCTGTAGGGTTACATTGAAAACAAAGTGTACAAGGCCAGTTTTCAACATGCTGCTGAACATTGGGTGCACTCCCATCTCTTGCAGGAACCAGTTCAATACAGAACTCATCAGCATGGGTACCAACGAGGTGAAAACATACCTTGGCTGGGTTTGCGGCTCTGCATCTCAAAATGGTTCAGATGCTGACGACTGCACGACGTTACCACCGGGTTCTGACCATGGAGATCCCTGTTGTCAGACGAACAAGCCGTGCAACCCGTCAAGCGCAGCGCATTGCCAAATTGAAAAACTACTCTAAATAAACCGCCATCTACTTGCATAACCAAAAACAACCGGCTGTTGATATCAGCACCTGAGAGTCATACTGCACATAAGCATTGTAATAAGGGTTGCAGTGCAAGCACGAACGTGCTGAAAGGCAAACAGTAGCCGAGAAATGGAAGGCAAAGAGGACAATACACTCGTGTTGTCCTCTTCATGCTTGCGCGGCAACCCTTATTGCAATGGAAATTAACCAACTAGCCAATAGCCGTTCTTCTCTGCACCTAAGCACTAGCAAATCAGGCGGTGCTTGGGCACACAATGGCACATTTCCTACAAAAAAGGCTTACATTGATTAATCCCCCCCCCCCCCCCAGTACCTACTCGGTGTTCAAAGAGGAAAGGCTCATTAGGAAATAGTTCACCTAGGGAGCTGTATTTTATCTCCAAGTTGCCTTTGAACAAGCACTTGCTTCTTTGCAGCAAAATCATAATTACAGTGTAGCACTGAAGCAACAGGCATCAGCTAATGGTAGCATACGTTCCATGTTGAAACCGGAGCCCAGTCCAACTTAACTGCAGTACCCACAGAACACTATTTAAAACGGAGCGCAAATGCATTATACGCTATATAGTTCTCACCAGGAGTAACTCGGGAAAAGGTAACAAAGCCTTTAAACATACTGCACTAGGTACAAGTAACAACTTTCATTTGCCTGGCTAGTCATTTATAAAATGCACATTTGAGCATGCTATGAGAAACACAGTTGTCAAATAATACAAAATTTCACTGAAACATATTTGTTGCGAAATACAAAATTTCTCTATCAGGGTAGAGCACAAACATTCCTGTCAAGCAGCAGGACTGCCATTCCAAATCTTTAGTAAACCATTATCTATACACATTGTGCACATTCTTGAGAAAAAGCGTACCATATTTTAACCATTTTAACAATCAGAGTTGCACGAATGTGCACAATGAACTTGTCAGGCCACAAGATCACAAATAACTCAATGGTGGGGACGACGGTACAGCTCTTCTAGCACGGAGATCAATTTTAAGGTATTCCTCCTAGCACGAGACAAAAATTACATGAGAAGCGAACATCAACTTGGCCACCGACAAGGAATCGACACAAATATTGGCATGATATACTAATGTCTTGCTTCTGCACTATTACCGTAAAAGCTTAGTGTTTCAGTGTAGCTAACAGAGTACATTTTCTCTTTAAATTTATGCCACTGACAAACCGCATAGCATAGCACAAGAATATGGGCCCTGCACACATATATTGACCACAGAATGAATACAGTACACTTACTTCTTGGGCAACTTTTCCATGACAGCACGGACTGCGCTATCCGATCCCAAAGTCACAATGCAGAATCTGGTCAAACCAAGCATGGTCTTTTACTAAACATACATGACAATACTGCAGGAAGGCCATGACCACAATTTCAAAATATCTGCTAAATAATGGTGCACATTTTTTTTTCTACAGCACCGAGCCAAACGATATGAAAGAGAAACAGCAAACATATAAAAGGGCACTGTTCAGGAGACATGTCAAGCATTACAGACTGACTGCAGCTCCGTTGTTTTTCAGGCAAATGTATTTACAATTGTTCAGGCTTTCTTTTTTCACATTTCCAAGTTGGGATTTCATTGGTTGTCCTCTGTGAACATGCTACAAAAATCAGAATAGGTTTGCGGTACAGTTGTACGAGATTTATAACAAAAGACAAGTTTCTCTGGCCTCAGCAAGAGTTCTGTACACAGTAAGAAAAAAAAACACAAGATAGAAAAGAACACACAATAGTTTACACACAGTTAATGTTAGCTACAGAAAGTACGTTATTACACTTAGAACAAACAAAGTAACACTAGATTCACGTTATGTGTCACGAGCAACAACTCCTCTAAGCACCATCTTTGCACGTGTAGTTTACGCACACACAGAAATCAGATTTGTGCTCCCAAGAGCTAGGCGTTAACAAGAAACAGAAGGGTAACATGCAGTCTCCGGCTTAACAACGCACAGTAAATAACCGACAAAATAAGCTTAAGCTGCTAGCTAGCAGCAGCAACAACATTTATTGGGGCGGTATCCCTCTGTTTCGCATCGTTGGCAAGGAACAAGCTGTGTGCTTCTAACACACAGATGCACTATTTGGTGCTTAGACAGATGCACTATTTCGTGCTAATCAGAATGGGCAATGGCGATATGTAGCTACAACATTGCCACAAAGACATTCCGCCATGTTACCATAACCAATTTTCTGCAGGAAATCGCTGTTCATTTATGATCCAATGTGATTTCATAGAACGTAGCAAAATAAGAGCTGTGTAGACGACCAATGAATCACAAGTACTGGAAGCTACTAGGGAATTGCTTTAGGTACACCGATGCTGGTTGAATACGGCTCTGACGCGAATGTGCTTAGTTGGAGAAAAAAAGACTTGCAAATTACAGACTGCAGTTAGTGAAAAAAAAAAAGGCAATCCTGTCCAGTAAAGAGCATCCGCTAAATTGCCACATGCCTTAAACACACACACACACGCACAGATACACACACAGACAGGATGTGCCATTGTTGTACAACCCTGCCTACTGTTCACTGTCAAGGTGCTTTTAATTCTTATGTGTCGCTCTGCATCAATCTTTATAGAACCTTTTTCTAAGTCGCATGTGACGCGCGCCTCTCCCAGAGTTGCGAATTTGAGCAGTATCGCGTTCTCGCCACGACGACGGTTAACGCGTGCCCTGCGGCTCACTAAGACCGGACCCACGCTGGTGGCCGTACTCCTTCGGGATACGCGTACACCACAATCTGTGCCACATGATATGCGCTACAGTGAGAGTTGAAATCACCCTTGCGCAGTTTCGACCATCAGCTAGTGTTCCGCTAGTGGCAATGTACCGAAGGAATATGGGGCAGGACAAAATGCATGGAGGATGAGAAGTCATGAGCGAAGTCGGATTTGCCAGCAATGTCTTGACCCTCTGTTAACAGCCTCGTCAAATAGCGTACAACCGCTGGCACTTATACATTCTGCATCCACAACTGAACTTGACCACCCCTGTTTTGCAAAAATAGTATTTGAAGAAGCCAATTGTCACTGCACCGCTGGAGGTAGCAACCACTGATTTTTTGGGAGGCTCGTGCATTAAACATCAAAGCACAGAAAAAATATTGTGTACTGTCGAACTACAAAAAAACACTGGCTAAATGAACATTCTTTGTAATAGAAAAGAGCGATAACGAAACCACGATATTGAAAATATCATGGACAATACATTGACATGTCTGCATAATGTCTATATGTAAAGTAAAAGTGCTTCCAATACAAAGTTTACTTCCTTTTATTTTAAAGGCTCGTGACAAAGAAGTCAAATTTAACATCTGGCAGGCTTGAGAACCCGCTGAGACTTGCAGAGCTTATGGCTGTCCTTATGTTAGCATATTACTGTACATATGACATGCGACTTTTTTCTATAATTTGGTATGTCAAGGTTCATTATAAGATTACAGAAGCAATTTTTTTTTCTATGTATCAAACAGGAGCGTTAAGTCCAAATCACAAGTGCAAGCGTTGCAGCACGTCAAGTATGCAGAAAAATGTTGCAAACATTGCACAATATGACCAGCTGCTGTAAGGAACACTGTTGAATCTCAGGCAAGCAGCAAAAGTGCAAAATATAAAAAAGCGCAATATTGGGAAGACAGACGAAAAAAGTAGAAAATGAACTTGCCACGGCGTTAGGGACACAACACTTCTTAAATTTTTTGCGAATAGAGAGCAGCAAAAGCGCTAAATTACACTGTGCCATATTACAACGCTAGCAGCGTGAAAAATCACACAGTCCAATATTTCAGTCCTTCACTACCACGTCCCGAAGAAGTCTTTTTGGCACGAAAAGAAGCATGCACAAAGTAAACAAAGGAAAACATATGCAAGAGCTACAGTCACCGGAAGAAAAAAAAAGTATCTTCCGGAGCGTTCTTTGTAGTAAAACAAGGCATGCTACATGTAGGTCATTCACTGACAAAAAAAATGGCCCTTGCCACGCTGAACGGCAAGGAATGGCTCGCTATTTGCACCCGACACCACGAGCATCTCGCATCTGCCATTACTAAGCGTTTGAAGAAATTCTGCGGAGCTTTCGCACGTTGCTTTAGGATCTGGCACTTGAGAGACAGAGAGAGTGCGCAAACTGGAATCCCAACAGGAATTGATGCAGGTGCTGCCGAAACAGAACACGGGCTAACATTCTGCACAAGAAGAACGCATAGAGTCGGCAAGATGCACAGATCACGAGAAAGAAGAGATCGCGGCACAATGCACACTTCGGTAAAAAAAAATTCCAGAAAAGACACTTTTTTTTTTTCTTGGCACATGGTAAAGGATCTTACCCCTTCGATTGGCCATTGGCTCTGTTTTCAAAAAACTTGATGTCTAACACATCGTTGACCCCCACAGCATTTATGGCGTCGGTGACGTCTTGGTCCGTAGTCCACTAGAAATGGTGGTCAAGCAGTGAGGTCAGAAGAAGCACTGCAGCAAGTGGTCGGGGCAAGCAACGGTGGCCTCCCGGGTGCCGCCGTGAAAAGACCTTCTCAAAAGCAGAGAGAGGGGGGCGTGAAAGCTTCACCGAGGCATCACGCATCACACAGTGAACACAGTTCTGGGGCCCCCGCAAAGCGGCAATGAGTGCAGAACACGGCAAGACAGTGAACCACACTTGGAATACAGTGCCAGTGCTTGGCACGTCGAGGGATACCTGAAACCCACAGGTGCCTAACTAGAAGCCTACTACACAGTGACCAGCCCTTCGTTACACTCAGTTTCTCATTTGCACACACGCAAAATGACATGCCCACATGCTGCACACGTGCAGGCGGCAGAAAGGCATTACAGAGATTACAAGTAGGGGAAAAGAAAGCAAGGAAAAATAAGGACCCTCTTATTTCCCGTGGTTTTGTAAAATTTGTTCACCAATTCATCAATGTGTCAAGCCTTCCCCATTATGCTGCAGTAACACTACTACTGGCGGAGCTCCGAAGTATTCAGCAAAGTGAAAAAAAAAAAAAAATGAGAGTGCATGGCACACAGTGTAACAAAACTATCGGCTGGGCAAGTGATGAACTGTCATGTGGCACTCCAAAATCTTCATAAGTGTTCCAGTTTTTTTTTTTTTTTTTAAGCTGCCAGTGCGATGTGGAACACTTCCTTTGAAGTGGTAAAGACCCACTGACATGGGTTATTTGTAGTGAACACGCGCACACAATCACATATAGGCAATACGCTTCATCGAAACTAATGTTTCATGCAAACATTTGAAAATGGCTTACTTTTATTGAGTCTTACTTTACATCCATTAAAGGAGATTCAGCTGACCTGCTGCGCCAGCAAGCCCAAGTATGACATTTACTCATTCAAGCACTATATCAGAATGCTGTCGGCACAAGAAGGACGACGATAAGCAACACTTGTGCAAAATGCAAGGGATGTCCTGACTGAGTGAACAAAGTGACAAAGTGCTGTCACCTCAATGGTGAAAGGCTGTAGCTTATGACAGAGCAGCTGCACAACATTGGGCTGAAAATAATACATCAAAGGGAAGTTCTGCAGCTTGATTGATTGCAGTCTTATTAGATTGCATACTTGCCATACCTTGCCACGTGAACCATGTCACATCGAATATGTGGAAGTTGTAGATGTAATGATAACTTTTCCTTTGCTGACAGCATTCCAATAATATTTACATTTGTTCAGCTGTTGGGGTGGTTTTTAGAACCTGTAGCTGTGAGTGCTTTTTAAAAAGCTAGGAAATCATTAAAATGAGTATAGATAACCACTAAAACAGTAAATACAGCTGATTAACAACCACAATAGTTGTCGCAGGAAGATTTTATTCTGATCCAATTATATTAGATCTTCTAGCACAATAGCAATGAACCTACTTCTTTGGTTACATGGGTGTCTAAGGAAAAACTCTAGAAATTTAGCAAGATTTACACGAAGAAATGCTACTTTCAACTTCACACCATCTCCTAACAAAAGATAGTGGATCAGAGGTCAATAAGCATTGTCAATCCAAAACGAAACGTTAAGTTTGGCACCAACATTGGGAAAGAAAAACACACCCGCCTAGGTTGAAATTTTGTGAACATTGCACACATGATGAGGGTACGTATGTGCAAACTGCACAGGTACAGAGAAGGATTGCATGTCATGCCAGTGAAGTCTTAAGACCATAAGGTTAAAGTTAGCCTTGCTGCTACTAGCAAGGAAAGGGTCAACTAGTCCTTACACTAGCATCTATCTTAGCATAAGTATTTTCAAGGCTGCTAACTTCAGCAAGAACTGTAACTAGGCAGTCTAGAACTACTTACGCACAAGCTGTAGCTAGTCTCCAAAATAGTTATTTCAGTACTGGTTAGAGCTAGCTTGTGAAGCACACCTTTTTGAATAGGTTTGGTGGTGGACTGATGGTGCTACTTTTCCACCAGCTGCTCTATGTTTAGAAACGGTTACTACATCTTAATAGAGATAGCTAAATAAAATAAAGGGGGGCTCCAAAAATATATGTCCATGATCACCTCAACACAGATACCAAAATATGCCCAACTCAAAGAAAGCAAAGAACTGTCAGTACCACGATGTCTCAGCTGGCATTGAATTGCCATCCAAACACAGTGAAGCATCTTTGATTGAAATAGATACGCATACGCAGCAGCGGCGCTGCATCAAGGTGGGCGGAAGAGCCCACTACACTACCTGCAATCGCAAAAAACATCCAACGGATCCGTACACTGGATGCTCACGATGCAGCGATTAAGTTACACGATTGATCGGCACAGACACAGTTTTTGGCTGCTGCAAGGCTTATAAAACAGGAACCAGGCTGTCTGGTAAGCATGCTATTCACGAAGGAACAAGTCAGACTGACGAAATCGTGAAGAAAAATACCAGAGCACATTAGGCTGCTATATTACATCATGAGCCTCCCCCACATGTTTGAACATGTTCCTGCAGTCATCCCCCGACAACACCATCAAGGAGGTCTCGCACAACACCTCTTAAATGGATAGAAAACCAAGAAGCCATTTCAATATATGTCACTAAAAGGGGCAACAAAGTAATTTTTCGCACGCTGCCAAGCAATATTTCAATAAACATACACACAAGTACATATGAACATGCCAAATACATATTCTTAGATAAACCTTTCAATTTCCACAAAATTTTTCGGTACCCTACTGCTAGGCTCCACCAATTATTATGTACAGCATCTGCACTCTGCCTTCACATTTAACGTTAATTTACTGGCGAGCTTAAAACTTGCATAAATTTGAAATCTCATAACTTGAGCTCGAGCTCGGCATGCAATGTGTGCCACCTGCGAACCGTAACATGAAACAATCCCCATCAAGACCTTTACACGACAAAGTAACAACAGAAACAATTAATTTTTCATGCTCCGCTTTAAGGACGTTATAGCGCCTACACTTTGTTTTACGCATGGCTTTACCTAGCATGCCAAGCAAATGAAACACATTGCTCAATTGTATACCTGAAAACAATATTTCCAATATATCATATTGCCAGTGCAGTCACACAGTACTTCCTGTATACTACTGAACATATCTCAAACTATTCATAGCATTGAATCGCCAAAAACACATTCTGCTTCTCGAAATCTATTCAGCCCATTTTTTTCAGCACAGGCGTGGCAAAGCGTTCGATATATTGAATGTGTAGGCATATGATAGTACGATATACCTGAACACGTGCCCTTTACTTCTACGCAAGTTCTTCAAGGAGATTTTTTCAGCTGTTCGATATAGCCAACAATTCGATATATCTGAGTTTGATATACCCGTAATCGACTGTATCCTGGTTTGACCGTATACCCTTGTCACTCGGCAGATCTATCACTTACAACGAATGACACTAGGTGAATTAATGTCATTCTACCTTTCTGCTGTCACACCCCGAGAATATATGTCATTTAAACATGTATTTTACAATGACGATGATGAGCTCAGCCCTCATGAGCTGGACTCTGGAAAAAATAAAAATCAAAAGCTTGCACGTAACGTGCATGTATTCTAGAAAATAAATTTTATCACTAAAAGCTGCTCGAAGACTATAAGAGCAGCTGTTTTACACTATTTGCCACAGCTGCACAACCTAGTAAAGTCAAGGTCCTAATCCTACAGCAAGTCAAATACCAACATGGCGGATGATATTACCAACGTTAGATGACGGAGCGTGAGGCACGATTGACACTTCAGCCGCAGAAATGATACGGGCAGCTTCTTTGTGTATGCACCACTTTGATCACTGAAACACGTGTAATCGAGCTATCGATGCTCACGACCTAGACAACAACGAAGACAGAGTACAAATGAAACATAGCTCGCATCCAGCCCATTCATCCACTGTAGGTAAGAGTAGTTTCCTTCAAAAAAGCTTTCACATCTATAAACCAGCAAGTGGTTCTTCTATTTAAAAAATTCAATGTTTACAAACTACAAAAGTTCGTAATACATAAGTAAACAGCCATCTCCTTAAAAGGTCCCTGAATATGAGAAAACGCGCTTTCGGTCCGGCATAGAATGTGATTGTATTTCATGAACTCATCCGACAGAAAATATTTTCACTGAACGGCATTAATTTTCCTATGTTACATTGAACAAATGACATTAGAAACGAATAACATTCGCTGTAAATGGCTTTAGGTTTGCCACGTTGAATTTCCACAGAAAAAAGAAATGAAAGAACCATTACAATCCTTTGTTTTGCAGTAATGTCAAGTCCTTAAACCAGAGTTAAACCCCAGTGAAGTCAACCCCATTTTAGAAGGTACTGGCATTAGGTCAATGACTGCAGAGTCGCTAGAACTTTGCCAAAGGCCCGATCACCACACTAGCAAGAAAATGTGTGTCAAAAAGCCAGGCAGGTGGTTACATAGAACGGGAAAAAGTGGTTTACTCCTTTAAGCTTTTGGATGCCACTCGCCGCACATTCATGAAAATGGGCAAATGTGGAGAGGAGCCATTGCCCTTTTCACACCAATCCTATTCGCATCAACCGAAAAGCACTGCTGCCTTCATTAGCCAAGTGTTCAAAGCTGCTGGCTAGTTCAGATTTCGACTAGTGCAGCAGTGCTTTCACAGTTTAGCAGGTGGTTTAGCAATGAGAAGCAAAAATTTGTAACGCCTAGTGAGTACACCAGGTCCCCCAGCTTGATTAATTGCACATGAGAACCCGAATGGTTCCAAGTTTTATTTAGACCAAACAAGGTGTTGCAGCCTTGACCCTGTTCCCTAGTATGCATTTGGTATGGCTCCTAATTAATAGCTAAGTGAACCTCATCCATGAGGCTGTCGAGCTTTTTTCGTTGAACCTGCTTCATGGTAAAATATGTGCAGGCCTCAACACAATGAAGCCCATTCTTCCTCTGCGCCACAAAACGAAATGTACGAATATTAAGAATACGAGTACATCATTAAAAAATACAACTACATTGTTAGAGAAGTGTAGGCCTACAAAGAAAAGCCATGTCTCTGGACATCAGTGAAGTGCCGTATGGCAGTGTGATAGAAAAATTATGCAAGGACGTTATACGAAGCCCTCTCAGCAGAAAAAGATCCAAACACATGTGAGAAGACACTATTAAGGAATACTAAAAAGAAAAAAACAATTTTTCTCTCATTGGTACATTACTCTTTCACAACTCCAAAATCCCTGCTGCAAGATGATTTCTGGTATGCAAAAAAACTCGCAAAAAGCAAATGAGAGTGGTAAAGCCACACTGAAATTCCCACACCAAACACCATTACGTCAAAAATTTTTACAGCATCCACCAGGCCCTCAGTAAAAACAAAGTACATTGTCCTCTGCAGGAACCAAATACCTACAGTACCGAGTGTCAAGAAATCATGTTGGACCAATGTCGTCAGATAATGAATAATACACTTTGAAATCACTGACGTCATAAGGGGTTATTTCAATGCGAACTTACGAATAAGCTTACTTATATTTTTCATAATAAGACAAATTATTTGCAATTATTGCAAAATTAATGGGGAATTATTGGCATTTGAGTCCTCAGCTTATAACTCATCAATTTAAATGAATCAATCTGTAACTTTGGTGTTCTTTAATTGCAATATTTTATTTGTAGTATTAAGAACATCAATTAGGCCAAGCAAAGTTCTCAACCAGCCTCACCCTTGGTATTTTGTTTTATAACCTCACCTCCAATAAATTAAATCCAAAATTTTTTACTTCACAAAAAGCTAAATTTTAAACTAGACAGTTAGTCTCTTTGTAAAAGGCTATACAGTGGACTTGGAATAATTCAAACTCTGATAATTCATACTTTCGGTTAATTCAAACAAAATTTAATTGTTCGGTTGGCCCATTATTCATTTAATATATTTAGAAGCTTTTTAATTCAAAATCCACCATCCGGTTATTTCCTACTTTTTGCAGTTCCATACTGAAAAATACCTGCTACTTTCCCACTACAATTTAAAAAATTGTAGAGCTTATGTAATCCAAACAATCTAAAAACGAAAAAAATATGCACCTCAGACCTTCGAGGAAAAACGCTTTGCTAGTAAACAAACGTTTGAAACAAAGCACACGCAAGGTAATCCATAATGCTTCTCAACTCGTATTAAGAGCTTCGAGCTAAAGGCACATATATCAAAGGAGCCCAGTTTGCAATTCAAGATTTCTTCAAAAGGTATGATTCGCAGTAAATGGCCGAAAAACTTCTGGACCTTAACCTCGGCTTTCTGTGCATTGTGTGCCATTAGGATTTCAAAATGCTTAAAGAATGTTCAAATCTGATAAAATCAATGCCTAATCATAACGTTTGGTTACTTCACCTTATATCTGACCACTTCTGATAATTCAAACAATATTGAGAGGTCCCTTCGAGTCTGAATTAACGGGAGTCCACTGTATTCCTATTAAGTAACAGCACCTAAACTTCCAACTTCTCTGCACAGCAACTACAAAATGAGGAGCTTGCTACCAACCTATTATAACTTCCCAAACCGTGCAAATACTAAGGCATATTCGCCATTGCCGTCATTTCGTTACGCATTTTCTATTTGGCCATGGAACTGCTAATAGACGAAACACGAATATCTCTACCAAGTTGATACAATTGCATCATTCCAAGAAACTAGAGCACTTCATGTTACAATGTTGTCCACTTCATATGTTGCTTTATATGAATGAACGCAAAGTGGTGAGAATGACCTCTGGCATGAGACCCAAGCTATTGAAAATAAAAACTCGCCAAATAACAATCTGAACTTCACGTCCTTCAATCGACCAATGGAATATATACGCGTGATTCTGAGTGTTGGGTGCAAGCAGCCTTCCATATTTCCACCAGCATCCTCGGTAAAAAAAAAAAGTGCTCCGATACGAACACTTTTCTTTTGCACAACATGACCACCATCCAAGTGAAATTCCAGCAGAGGGCACATTTTCTGCCGACACTGCTAAGAATATATTTGGTAAACAATTTTTCCGCAACAATGTTGCAGTAACACATGCATCGCACGACCGCTAGAGCATAAACATTGCTTCTCTGCCTCAAGGTGCTGTTGTGCGTTCCGGGCATGCGCTTTCGCTGTCCCATTTACATTCTAACCCTTTATATGCTTCAGACTTGAAACGCTGTCCCATTTGCATCCTTAACCCTTTAAATGACATGTTATCAATTAATGCAGAAATGGTTTCCACACACTCTTTTCTTACTTCATTACCACACGAACACCGAGTCAACTTCAAAAAGATAACACAAAGTTTTAATCACTCGCACTAGTTTATCATGTTATATGAGGGAAAAAAAAGCATGTTTGGCGCATTAGCAACTGTACGCACAGTTATTCTGAGCCACCAATCTTAACATGTGATCAGAGAACACAATCTGAAAATTTGCACAACGATCTCTCGAATTCCAGATGTGGAAAATGAATGCTGCACATTCTCCGTACACCACAACCACTACACCTCTCATTTACATCACGCAACCAAAAAAAAAAGCTGAGCACAGCAAAAGGCCACTTAACATTCAAAAATTCGTGCTCAGCAGACATACAGCTTCCAAGACGCTTGGACAGTGCCAGTTAAAGGGTTAAGGAGCAGAGGATAAAAAAAATAGTGTCATGGCGATTTCATTAGGTCCAAACGAGGTCTTGTTATGCAGTAAATTGCAGCTAATTTCTAATATATAAAGGTTCCTTAACAAAGGTAGAATGAGTTTTATTTGTACATCTGCACAAGTTCCATCAAGCTGCCCAACTCATGATACAACACACAGCAGCATTTTCTTTTCCCCCATTCTTTCCTTGGCATAGAGAATATGCCAGCCAGGACAAGCTGGCAGTCAGCGTACATAAAGACCAAATAAATCTGATGAACACACCTTTTCACACAACCACACAGAAGCAAAAAGGGAAAAGAAAAAAAAACTAGCCGGGAGCACTGTGTTACCATCAAAGTTATTAACGGAGAGGTTACACCAGTACGTGTTTATGATGTTTCAATGTCGAGCCCTGCCGCACTTTCTCCAGTTAAGACGGGGACAAGGCACTTTAATTTTTTTTATTTCTCGGTCAGTTTTGATGATACTTGGCGAGTTTATGTATATTAGTCTGCTGACTTCACATATGCAATTTTTTTATAAAATGTAGTTTTTAAAATGCCAACATATTTCATGTGCCTTTTAGGAAGCAGGTTTTTTCTACACTAATAGTCAAAATGTGAATCAGAATATCACAATAATCTGGAATTAGAGCAGCCTACGGAGCTCCAAAAATGGTTGCTCTATATGCATTAGTAGAAATGTCATAGTACCTTGAACATTTGCCAGTGAAGTCCCAGCTTGAAACTGACTCACAAATGTTCAATGTACCATAACTTTTCTTCTAAGGGGTTCAGACATTCATTTTTGTTGCACTGTAGACAGCTCCGATTCCAGACTATTGTGGTATGCTGATTTACTTTGTAGCTCTTTCAGTTTAGAAAAAATATTACTCCCCAAAAGGTACATGAAATATTTGTATTTTAAAAACTATACTTCATACAAAAAAAAATTACTGCACATTTGAAATCTACACACTTTATAAAAACTGACTAAGTTTTGTCGAAGTTGATCAAGAAAAAATAAAAACCTTTCTTAAGAGCAGTGTCACTCCTTAAAAAAAGGAGGGGAGGGAAGAATGACTGAACACTCGCACATCGCAAGCGTGTCCGTAAACTTGAATGTACCCTAAATCCTTCAACTCCCTCAATTCTTTTACATTCCCTCTTCGCTAGGATCTTCCAATAAGAGCCAATATGCCAGCACTTGAACGTGAGCGCTTTCCCCGTAACGTGGTGCACTGACAACAACCGAAGAAAGCTCCTGTTCTGTACTCCTACATATTTTCTAGTCCCGCAGACACCCAATCTAATCAAGACATGCCTGAAATACCACATATTGCCTCTCTTCCTCACACTGAAATTAAGAGATGCAGCTTCTAATCTCTTTCTATAAATTGCATGCAATAGATCTTGGCTATGACCATTTCCTAAACCCAGGATTTCTTTAATGTCTCTCCTCCTTTTGTAAAAACATAGAAATAGAGTGTGTACACTTAACAAGAAATGGTTAAAATGGCGCAAGCACATTTGGAGAAAATGTAGCTCAAAGACATGCTGCATGTTATCGATAATCGAAAGCCATCCAAAACCAAACAAGCTGGGTTTAGCCTGCCAAGGGAAACAAACTCTCCTTGTCACATGTTTGGCACACTAAGCAAAAAAAAATTTTTTCACAACAGCCTAATGAAAAATTAACATGTTAACATGCTAGCTGCGTAACACTGGGCTCCTTCTTAACTTTTCTTTTTGTTTCGCACAAGAAATGCATTCACGAAAAAAATAATCTACCAATAAAATCTGACACAAACAATTACAGTCAACCATCAGCCTTTCACTCAACTGCCACAGAAACAAAAGCTGAACAACAAAAGTGCAACACAGGCACTGGTCCCAACTTCGGAGAACACACGATAGCAATGGGTATCGTGCACAAATGAACATCATTGACACACTTCTGTGAGGGCTTTTTTTTTTTTCTCGTCTTCAATGGCTTACCCAGGTCAGGTTTCCAATGTAGAGCGCGACACGCTTTGAAGGATGGCTGTTTCCCTGGGACTGGTTGCCAACCCCAGACACCTGAAACAGTTGCCCATACTGTATTATAAACTGCAACAATTAATATGAACAGGGAGTTTTCAGGACCTGAAAGAGTTGCCCATACTGCATTATAAACTGCAACAATTAATATGAACAGGGAGTTTTCAGGACCTCCTTTGGGCATACAATGTTAGCATGCATCCATTAAATCAGATCTGCTCTTTCGGTGTGCAGGAGAAAGGTTTGCCTGCTAAGCATACCTGAAAGGTATGCTTAGCAGGCTGCTCCAGAGGGGTACAATGAAGCTAAATAAAAACTACGTGGCAAATAGGGCACGTAAAACGCACTACAACACTAAAGCACTAGAAAACCGGCGTCTCTAAAGAAATTCACGTTGTAGTGGAGGAGCATACGCACCAACACGTATGCGCTTTCGGAAGATAACGAAAAAACCCGTGCTCTGATTGCGCGAGAACCTGTGCCGCTTTTGCCAGACTTGCTGTACGCCCATTTTCCGTCGTGACCTCTTTACGACTCTTCTGTTTGAATAAACATCATCGCATTTGGTGGAGGCTGCTGAGATCCCTAAGCAGACCTGGAGCTCCGCTCTCACAAGTTGGCCGAAAGACCACCGTACAACATGACTGATGCAGTCGCCAACCAGCCCATCCCAGCACAGCCAGCACCATCGGCTGCCCCGTCGACCTGCCCTGGCGCTACCCATCAGCGGGACCCACCAATCTTCAGCGGCAGTGGTGAGCAAGACGTCGAAGACTGGCTCTCCTTGTACGAACACGTAAGTGCCAGCAACAAGTCGGACGACTCTAAGCTTGCCTATGTTATCTTTTACTTGGCTGACGTCGCTAAGCTATGGTTTACCAACCTTGAAACCGCGATCGCCAACTGGTCTACCTTTAAAACCCTCGTGACCGAAGCGTTTGGCCGACCAGAGGTCCGCAAACTCCCCGCTGACCAGCGTCTACGCCACCGAGCCCAGCAGCCTGGCGAGACATTTACTAGTTATATTGAGGATGTGCTCTACCTCTGCAGGCGTGTTAACCCATCTATGCCTGAAGAAGAGAAAATTCGACAGATTCTTAAGGGCATCGAGGATAGCACATTCCAGATGTTGCTGGCGAAAAGCCCGACCACGGTGGCAGTCCTCGTAAGCCTGTGCCAGAGCTTCGATGAATTGCGTCGTCAGCGTTCCATCGCCCGACAGTGTCCCATCACCAGATTTAATCTCGGCCGTCGCACTCGGAAATGGCAACATACGCCAAGGAACTCTGTCGCACCAGATTAAAGACTTCATCAGGGAGGAAGTCGTCCGACAGCTCTCCCTGCTGCCGCATAGCGACGCGCCCACCACAAGCCTCCCTTCGACACTGCAGCAGGCCATACGCACTGAAATTTGCTATGCCCTCGCTACAGTTCCGGCCCTTTACCCATGCACTTCGGTACCACCTGATCTATCAACTGCTGGCTACGCACATCTTGCGCCACCTTCACCTCTCAGCTACGCAGCCGTGGTCGCGCGACCCCCACCGCATCCAGTCGCCTTATTGGCTCCCCCTCTTCCGGCCTCGCCTCCAGTTTACAGGCCCCCACTCGCTTTTTTCCATCGATCTAATGAGTGGCACACCCAAGACAATCGTCCTATCTGCTTCGCGTGTGGCATCACTGGCCACATTGCACACTTCTGCCGCCGCCCTCTCACACCTGCGCACGCATACTTCAGAACTCCTACCTATGCGCCGCAGCAGGCCACCACGTCTGCATATGAACAGAGGCACTCAGACTCGTATCGCCGCCCATCGACTGCTCGTTTCCCATCCCCTCGTCGCCGATCGCCATCGCCTATACTCCGTTTCATACATCAGGTGCAACGCTGTGAAGGCTAGGCAAGTAGTCCGTAAAGAAAACACGAGGTGTTGCTCCGCGCGGTTTCGTAGCCGAGTGGTCTGACGCGTCGCTCCGGAGAGTTCACCGTAGTTTTGAAGTGCATGGGTTCGAATCCACAGCTTTGATGTGCGAAGCGTCGAAAAAATTCGCGCAGGAGAGGTGGTCGAGGACGCAGAGCTGGACGCCATTTTTTCGAAGCTGCCACAACATGTAAAAAAAAAAACGGCGGCGCGGGTCGCACGGAGAGCGAAAACCTGATACGAAAGCGACAAACATAAATTACCAACTCGCATATTTGGATTATTTTTCCGACAACACAGGCGTTTGTTTCTTAACCTGATGACAAATATGTATGCTTAGAAGTTTTCCCGAGAAGCATTTATTGATTACGACATCACCTTGCCTCCAGAAGCTTCGGTCCCTATAAGCCTTTCATGTGTGGCGCAACCTGATGCCACGTTGGTGTTTACGCCATCTCCGGTTTTTACTGAACGCAAGGGCATTGTTCTCCCATTCGCCGTTCTTACAATTGCGTCTGGTTTAACCGTAATGCTGGTTACCAACCACTGCAACTACCCCATTGGCTTACTTCGTGGTGAAACGTTAGGATATGTGCAACCTGTCGACCATATCGATGATATTATTTTTCCCGACGAAACGCCATGTCAAACTGCTGCAATCAATCATGCGTCTGAGACATCAAGTTCGTCAGCCTTCGACAATGCTATTGACGCAGACCTTCCCCTCTCGCATCGCCGGCAACTTGTTGCTCTCCTTAACAAGTTTCGCTCTTCTTTCGACTTTCAAAAACCTGCTTTGGGCCGCACCACGACTATCACTCATACTATTGACACCGGCTCACATTCGCCTCTGCAACAGCGTCCTTACCGCGTTTCCGCCGAAGAGCGCCGCGTCATTACGGAGCAAGCAGATGACATGCTTAAACGTGGAGTCATACAGCCTTCTCAAAGCGCTCGGTCACCACCTGTGGTTCTGGTAAAGAAAAAAGATGGCACTGTTCGATTCCGCGTGGATGATCGCCGCTTAAACAAGATTACGAAGAAAGATCTCTACCCGCTACCACGTATATACAATGCTTTTGACTGTTTACAAGGAGACGAGTACTTTACATCCTTGGATCTGCGTACTGGGTATTGGTAGGTGCCAATGGCTGAATGTGATCACCCTAAAACAGCCTTTGTATCGCCGGATGGTCTATATGAGTTCAAAGTCATGCCATTTGGGCTCTGCAACGCACCTGCCACACTTGAGCGCATGATCGATACCATCTTGCGTGCCCATAAGTGGAAAACTTGCTTGTGTTACCTAGACGACATCGTAGTCTTTTCATCTGATATCCCGACACATCTTGTTTACCTCCACGAGATTCTGACGTGTCTAACTTCTGCAGGGCTACAACTTAACTCCGAAAAGTGCCACTTCGCAGCACGAAAACTAACCATCTTGGGACATGTCATCACAAGAGACGCTGTTCTCCCGGATCCCGATAAGCTTCAAGCTGTCGCTGACTTCCCGTTGCCCACATCACTGAAAGCCCTAAGAAGTTTCGTCGGTCTCTGCTCCTACTTTCGTCGCTTTGTGCGCAACTTCGCGTCCATCATCGCACCTCTCACGAGTCTGCTTTCCAACAGCATAGGACGCAATTCGCCAGCTGCGCCGCCTGCTGACCTCACCACCTATTCTTCGTCACTTCGACCCCGCTGCTGCCACAGAAATTCACACCGATGCAAGTGGCATCGGTCTTGGTGCAGTTTTGGCACAACGAAAAGGCACCCAAGCCGAATGCGTAGTCGCCTATGCATGTCGCGCTCTCAAGAAGGCTGAATTGAATTACTCCGTGACAGAGAAGGAATGTTTGGCCATAATCTGTGCGCTGACCAAGTTTCGCCCGTCCTTTCAACGTGGTCACAGACCACCACACTCTATGTTAGCTGTCCACATTGAAAGACCCGTCCGGATGCCTGGGGCATTTGGCACTTCGATTGCAAGAATACAACATACGTGTCGTATATCGTTCCGGTCGCAAGCATGCGGATGCCGATGCACTTTCGCGATCGCAATTAACACCAGATGTGGCTTCTCTGTCACCCCTTTTTACCACCTTGTCACCAATAGACACCACTAACATGCTTTCGGAGCAGCGTAAAACCCATACCTTGCATTGTTACTCGACTACCTTACCGATCCGTCTGCTGTCCCTTCCACGAGAGCGCTACGCCGACAAGCAGCCCACTTTTCCGTGCGAGACAACATTCTGTACCGCCGCAACTACATGCCTGGTGGTCGAAAGTGGCTCCTTGCCGTCCCAACTCATATGCGCTCTGACATCTGCATGAATTTCCATGCAGATCACCAAAGTGCTCACGCAGGTGTCCTGAAAACCTACGAAAGGCTGCGCCAACGATATTACTGGCGAGGAATGTATCGCTTTGTGCAGAAATACGTTCAGTCTTGCACCACTTGCCAACAGAACAAGACACCTCCGTGGCACTTTCCTGGCATGTTACGCCGCTCCCATAAACGGCTCGCCCATTCGACCGCACTTTACTGGCATGTTACAGCCGCTCCCATGCCCGGCTCGCCCATTCGACCGCGTGGGTATTGACCTCTATGGCCCCCTCCCATATAGTCGCTCTGGAAACCGGTGGATTATTGTCGGCGTGGATTATCTGACACGCTACGCTGAGAATGCAGCTCTACCGGCAGCGACCGCCCACAAAGTTGCACTCTTCATTCTGTGCAGCTTCATTCTCCGCCATGGGGCTCCACGGGAATTACTCAGCGATAGGGGTCGAGTGATCCTGCCGGAGGTCATCCAAGCTATTCTCGCTGAATGCAACATCATCCACCGGAAATCTACCGCATACCATCCACAGACGAATGGTCTCACTGAACGATTCAACTGCACACTTGGCGACATGCTGAGGATGTACACCTCCTCCAACCACACTAACTGGGACTCTGTATTACCTTTTGTTACCTTCGCTTACAACACCACGACGCAAGCGACTACCGGTTTTTCCCCGTTCCATCTGTTGTACGGCCGCGAACCATCCCACCCTCTCGACACTATACTCCCGTACCGCACTGATGCATCGGAGTGCTCCCCGCTTTCG